AAAACGCTAAAACTCAACTGTTTAACTCCAGGGGAGTTGGAAAATTAGCATATTTTCAAAAATAGTGGAGTGTTCCTTTAAGTGGCAAAAATTCCAGAAATTTGGAAAAAATCAATTATAGTTCCTGCAGCTACCACTCAAGGCCCAACGGAATTGAATGATTTCAGGCTGGTAGCGCTCACTTCAATAGTTATGAAGTGTTTTGAGAAGGTAGTTAAGGGAGAAATCCTACAGCTGTCCAAAGACGGTTTTGATTCTTTACAGTTTGCTCTTAGAGAGGTTGCTGTCTTTCACCTCTTTTGTTTATGTACTACTAATTAATTAATGTCTTTCCTACTATGATGATTCTGTTTTATAAACAATTTACTGAAGCTGTTCTTTCCTTTTCTAAGTAAGGAAATTGCACATTTCTTGCTCAGTTTGGGCCTAAAAAGGTGTTTTTTCCTCCTCGGGTATGAGCTCTATATTCTCCTATATCATACTATATGAGCCATAAAAGCCTGATGTATTAAATATAATACTCAAAAAAGTGCATCTGCAAACTTTATTTGTGTGTTATTCTTGTTTAGATTTCTCTCAATGTTCTGAAAAGCAACTGTTCAATTCAAACTAAAATAAAAGAAAGAGTAGTACTATTTGAATACGCATGTGACCTAATAGTAATTATTTGCTACAGAAGGCACCATTAATAAACTTAAATTGAAAAAAATGTCACAAATAAATGAATCGAGAAATTTAGACAACATTACATTTTGCTGTCTAAAGTTAAAGAGTTAAGAGTAAAGCGTTAAGAGCCTGAGGAGGAGGGCTTCCCCAGATGATCTTGGTTCCTCCTCCTAAGGTTTCTTCCTCACCTACTGCTTTTGTTTATATAATTTAAAATTGACATGTTGCTGTCAGATGTAGTTAATTTTCCCATTAAAAAAGAACGAGATATAAGAAAGAGTTTGTTGCATTACTTTCCCTATCGACTAGCAAACACATGGAAACTTTGCAATTGGGCTTCGACACATATCATGACTTCCGCTAAAATGAAAAATGGTTCTATGATAACGGCACCTCTGTGCATCTCCTGCTTAGGAGCGAAACATGCACCTTGTTCTGTGCTGTAGAGATGAAGTGGTTCTGGGTTTCAGACCCTTCTCTCACACCCAAGCTAAATGCAGCCGATACTGGGAGCTCGAATCCGCTCTATGGGAGAAGATCTGTGTCACATCAGAGCGCAAAGGAAGGTCAGGTGGGCTTGCAGAGCTCTAAGCCCCTCCCACCACAGCAGTCAATCACCAAGACAAGTCCAGATGAAGGCTGAGCGATAATCAGCTCAAGCAGTGAAAAAGAGAGGATGGTTTATGGTCTGTGTCTCATGGTGGCGAGGGCTCAGAGAACAACACGTTTGTTCAGCCTCCCATGAGACGAGAGATCTGCTCCATCACTCGCCCCTCAAGTGATCTGCTCGTGTTTGGAGGAGGCTCTGACACCCCTGAGAAGCGCCGGACTCGTGCATCCGATGAAGCGAGTCACAGATGCTGAGGCTTCTTGGAGAGCTCGGGTTTTTGTCTGGTGTCCTCAGAAAATAAACTGCCTGGATTCCAAACCAATTCATGTGTTGTTTTGTCTTGATTTGATCATGATTGAAAATATGTTCAGTATGCACTATTGCAAAACACACCAACTCTCACAGAATTGCTACATATCAGTTATGATATATATAAATCAGTGTTGTATAATATTGCTGCTCCTTAAGAGCCACCTTCCAGCAGAGTTTAGCTTTAACCCCAGTTAAACTAAACCAGCTAATCAAAGTCTTCTTTGTGGTCCGGGCAGGTGTGTTGGAGCTGAACTCCACAGGAAAGTGGCCCTTCAGGAGCAGGATTGGACACTCCTGATGATGTAAGTGATCCTGACTGACCCTGCTTATGTGAGTAACTTAATAAATACTTCATAGACCTACACAAGACAGTAGACAATAAGTAGTGATGGTATGATATTTTAAATCTGGGCCTTTAGTGTGATTCGTTCCATTCAGAAGCACCGTTTGACAACAGTATAACCAAAGAGGTTTTTATGGCACGGAAGTCATCAGCAAAACATGACATAACACTAGCCTAAGCCAGCCTATAGTTCAAACTTAAATAATTTATTATTTTTTTTTTTTTTTGGAAATTGCAAATTATATTTAAAATGGCACTTTTTATTTGCAAACATTTTTTTTTTCATGAAGTACGACAATGCAAAAGCAATCACATATCACCAACATCAGTACTGTACAATTGTTTTGTATTAAAATCACAACTGCAATGATCAGTTAGTGATTTCCAAAACAAAACAAACAAAAACAAAAATCCTTTAATTTATTCACTGTAGTGTTTTTGAAATAAACAAAGTGAATCCATTTTGTGTTTAGTAAAGCAATACTGGACAAAAATGAAGAATGGTCGAGTACAGATTCACTCATGGATTAGACTTGCTAGACACTCATTTTCAGTTATTTTTTTCATGCTTGTTTTACTTTTTTTTTTTTAAATGTCTGGATGCCATTATGTATATAGTTTGTTTTAAAATGTAAAAATGCAGCACAAGCTTTAAGGATTCAGACGGAGTAAAACAGTAACCCATGAAAAAGTTCGAAATGAATGGCAGTTTGTATGTTAATATGATTTTTAACAATGTTTACCTAAAATAAAATTAATAAAATGAATGAAAATGATTTTATTATTATTTAAACATTTTATTTCTTGTATTTGTGCGCATATTTGCAGCATGATTCGTTTTAAATGGTTTCAAACAATTTTATTTAGTATTCAACCATTTAAGACTGTTTACTGCTTATTTTTCCTCTTAAAAGGAAGGAACTGATTTCTTGTCTTGAATCGTAACTAACACTAGGTGGTGCTAGTGCTTGCACATTTGTGACCCTGGACAACAAAACCAGTCATAAGGGTCAATTTCTCGAAATTGAGATTGAGACATCATCTGAAAGCTGAATAAATAAGCTTTCCATTGATGTATGGTTTGTTAGGATAGGACAATATTTGGCCGAGATACAACTATTTGAAAATCTGGAATCCGAGGGTGCAAAAATATCAAAATACTGAGAAAATCGCCTTTAAAGTTGTCCAAATGAAGTTCTTAGCAATGCATATTACTAATCAAAAATTAAGTTTGATATATTTACATTAGAAAATTTACAAAATATCTTCATTGAACATGATCTTTACTTAATATAATGATTTTTGGCATAAAAGAAAAATCAAAACAAAACAAACAAAAACAAAAATCCTTTAATTTATTCACTGTAGTGTTTTTGAAATAAACAAAGTGAATCCATTTTGTGTTTAGTAAAGCAATACTGGACAAAAATGAAGAATGGTCGAGTACAGATTCACTCATGGATTAGACTTGTTAGACACTAATTTTTCAGTTATTGTTTTCATGCTTGTTTTATTTTTTTTTTTTAAATGTCTGGATGCCATTATGTATATAGTTTGTTTTAAAATGTAAAAATGCAGCACAAGCTTTAAGGATTCAGACGGAGTAAAACAGTAACCCATGAAAAAGTTCGAAATGAATGGCAGTTTGTATGTTAATATGATTTTTAACAATGTTTACCTAAAATAAAATTAATAAAATGAATGAAAATGATTTTATTATTATTTAAACATTTTATTTCTTGTATTTGTGCGCATATTTGCAGCATGATTCGTTTTAAATGGTTTCAAACAATTTTATTTAGTATTCAACCATTTAAGACTGTTTACTGCTTATTTTTCCTCTTAAAAGGAAGGAACTGATTTCTTGTCTTGAATCGTAACTAACACTAGGTGGTGCTAGTGCTTGCACATTTGTGACCCTGGACAACAAAACCAGTCATAAGGGTCAATTTCTCGAAATTGAGATTGAGACATCATCTGAAAGCTGAATAAATAAGCTTTCCATTGATGTATGGTTTGTTAGGATAGGACAATATTTGGCCGAGATACAACTATTTGAAAATCTGGAATCCGAGGGTGCAAAAATATCAAAATACTGAGAAAATCGCCTTTAAAGTTGTCCAAATTAATTTCTTAGCAATGCACTAATCAAAAATTAAGTTTTGATATATTTATGGTAGAAAATTTACAAAATATTTTCATGGAACATGAGCATTTTTATTTGGCATAAAAGAAAAATCTATAATTTTGACCCATACAATTTTTTTTTTGCTATTGCTAAAAATATACCCAAGCGACTTAAGACTGGTTTTGTGGTCCAGGGTCACATTTGACCACACACACTCCTACTGTCTATAGATATTCAGTAGGTCCTGAACTAAATATGTGCAGTAATGATAAAAAAGATTATATATAGCAAATTCATTGACACTGCTGTCCTGAGATAAGAATTTTAATTTTTATGTCACATAAAATAACATTTCCCACATTTCTGGAATTTCATTCCATACAGGTACATGCATAGCAACACATTTTTGACAACTTTTTTTTTTGTTTTTTTTTTGAGCAGATTATTTTGTTTTGTTTTTCTGTAGGAAAGATTACAATGACTCATCCATACCAAGTGTAAACCCTTCTCCAGCAAGACTTTAGTAAACACTTCACACAGACAATTTCTGGGGATCCAAGTAAAAAACTTACCCTTTCATAATACTGCTTTAAATAATGTTTCATCTTTTAAAAAGTATTGCATTAGAAGCCAAATATTTAAAAAGAGATAATGAATCAGCAAACACACATACAAGTCATTTTTTAAGAAGAGTTCTGCATTGTCAAGAAAAACATATGGAAGCATAAAGAAACATCAAAGACAAACTAGACTCTACATGTATTGACAATTATTAATTCAGAAAACGTGATTGCCAGTATTTAAGGATATGTTGACACATTAGTCAGCCAGAGGTTTCTCCACCATCTGTAGATTTTTCTTTATAACCATTCATGTGGCTGCTTTCTTTAATTCTAAAAGAAACATTTTCATAAAACTGTTTTTCATCTCAGATCTGCATTTTTTTTTTTTTAGAGCTGCAACTATTATTAAATAAATACATAAAAACACAATCAACACACAGTATTCCCAACAAATATGTTAAAAGTTTCTAATAAATGACTGTAGGATAAATCTCCTGATTTGATTGTCCTCCTGCTGCTGAGTCCACCAGCATAGAATTGTAAAAATGTCTTATGTAGTTGACCACAAGGGGAGAAACCGGTGCTTGTGAAAAATTTAATACGTCCACTTTAAAGAAGAGGGGGGCAAGTGGTCACTTTCAGTCATCACAAACAGTAGCCAACAAAGTGTCCGTTGTCTGATTAAAAACAGCAGGGCCATCGTCAAGCGGGGACAACTGGGTAAGTTGTCCTGGCGTCTTTACATGTATGGGGGCTGGGGCCCACCTTTATAATGTCACGGGCCATGTGAATTCAAGAGGTTAACATCTCTACCTTTTCTACTGCTGTGGACTAGGTTTAAGACAGGGTGCAGGCACACTATTTCACATGCTCTGCTGTGTGTGACGAGCAGTAAAACTTCTTGTGTGTTATAAAGTTTGAGAGGTTGTTGAACTGGATGTCACAAGGACGGCAGTACTTTACATTACTTGTGGTTGCAATGGACCCATTCAACACTCTCTTGAATCTTGTTGAGACTTCTTCAGTCTTTAAGGATGGCACCGACATTGTGCTTTCCTTACAGTTGACAGGACTGTCTGCATGGCTCTCTGGTGTAGCGGAACCATGTTGTTTATTCCCAGCATCTTCCAACTTGTCCTCGAGGTCAAGACTGTCCTTTAAGGATGAAGACTTGTTCTGGTTCCCAGGGTCATGTGTGCTTAGATGGCTACCATCAGGCATCGGCTGGTCATTTTCCCCCTCACTGCCCTCGTTTGGACTCTGCCTTCGTTCGCTTTGTGAGACCAGCATCCCTGTAGCGTAATCGGTGGGTTTGATTTCATAGTAAGGCCAGATTTGCTCATCGGGTCTCATTTTCTTAGCAGGACTTGGGTAACCCCCAGAGGGCTGAAACACACTCCTCGTGTCATCTTTTATCGGGATTGGTTGTTCCTCACTGGAAGCTTGGATGTCGGAAGTTGGCACTGCATTTGGATGCTCAATCTTTCCATGCGGAGCTGGGAGCTCAAAGAGGGTGTTCTCTAAAAGGCTGTTAGTATTTGTAGGACCTTCCTTTTTGATGATTTTGATTTCAGCGGAAGTGTTTTGCAAAATAGTACCTAGGCAGAAGTTCTGTTTGTGCTTAAGATAGTCCTCAACTTTGTTGAAGCTTATCTTGCACACAACACACTCATGATAATCCATAAGTCCTTTAGAAGAAACCGGAGTGTTGCCAAACTGTGCGATGCATTTTTTACTGAGATCTATAGGTGCATCACCTTCTTCCTTGGAGATTGTATTACATTTTGACACAAGAGCTGATTTTGTGACTGTCAATGAAGCCTCTGGATATTTGGGTACTAACCCCTGGATCATGTTGTACCTCTGATGGTCCCTGAAGCTATCCAGTGTGTCTTTTGACATGTATGGACCTCCTATAGTGGGCATACCAAGAAATGTTGGCATACCCATAGGTGGCATTTGTTCTTGTTCAGGAGTGGCCAGCTCATATGCCTTTCTTCTTTTACGAGGACGTACTGCCTTCTGATTGGCTGCTCCTTTATTGTTTGCACGTTTCAATTGAGGATCATGGCGAGTGGCACAGTAATACTGCTTGTGCACCATGAAGGTCTCATGTCGACTAAAGGTGATCTTGCATGCCTCGCATGTTGTGTGGTTGGGGTCAGTTTCAGTGGGTGGCATTTTCTGGTTTTGTAAATCCAGCTGTGTACCGTTTGGTCTCTCCTGTGCACCAGATGGAGTTGACGCTTTTTTAACTTGCACCGACAGTTCATCTGTCACTTTTCCATCTGTGATTGGATTGCAAGGGTTAGGCTCATGCCCTTTCACTTCAGAGGGATGGCCGGAATTTAGCATAACAGCTAAACTAGCTCCGATTTTAGGGCTTACACTGCCTGCTGGTTTATCCAGAAGTCCAGGGAAGTCGAGTGGCCTGTGTGTGCTTTCCCAGCGACTGTTGCAGTAGTGCTTCTTGTGTACCAAATAATTATCAAGGTTATTGAAGGTGATATTGCATTCAAAGCATGTTGCTCCTTTTGGCACAAGCGTGCTGTACATGACTGGAGGGTAAGAGTTTCCCCCATGACGTAACCTGCGATGGACCAACTCGGACATTTTGGCCAGGATGTCAGATGCCTGCGGGCCCACCGTAATATCCTGTGGGAACGGGACATGTGGTATGAAGGGGGGTAAGGGAAAGGCAGGAGGCAGGTGGTGTTGAATGGGTGAGGAGGCTAAATGAGGACTAGAAGGTTCTGACTTTACTCTGGAGTATGAAACACTTGCCTTGTTTCCTGAGTTTCCCTCACCCTTAGTGGATGTCTGGCTACTTTCCGTGCTTTCCATCTCTGGCATTTGACTTATATCACGTTGTATTGTGCTTTCCTGAAGGTCTTTCATGTTTGCATTAGCTCTAACTCGTTGAGGACTGCATGCAATGCTGTTAGGGGAGTTATCAGCTTTGTCTCCTTCGATGAGTTTGTTGACCGTATGTCCATGCAGCTCCTGGTGTTTGACCAGTTCTCTGGGGGTTTGGAATGTGAAGTGGCAGTGACTACATCTCAGGCCAGTTTGGGACAGATGGGAGAGGATGTGGTGCTGGAGTACCATAAGAGTTTCAGCAGTGTAGTCACAAATTGTGCATTTTAAGTTTCTTCCAGTGGATATCTCATCTGACTTAAGAACTGGAAAAACAAAAAGAAAACAGAAATGGTGTTAATGAGTAACACTACAATACAAAGTTGAGTCTAACCAAGGAGTGTACAGACTCCTATACATTGAGCCATGGTGCTTGTGCAGATAACTTTAGTTGGAATCCTGTTTGGACCATTTCCTGATCCCCTCTACCAGAGGTGTCCAATTCTGCTCCTGGAGGGCCAAGGTCCTGCAGATTTTATTTCCAGCCAGCTCCAAATCACTTACCTGGAAGTTTCTAGTGAGTCTGAAGTCCCTGATGAGCTGGTTCTGGTGTGTTTAATTAAGGTTGGAGCTAAACTCTGCAAGACAGTGGCCCTCCATGAACAAGTTTGGACACCCCTGCGCTATACCCTTAATTCCCTGTCCTCTCTCTACTGAACTACCAAAAAACACCTCAAACCAGCCTAAGCTGGTTTAGCTGGTCTCCCGGCCTGACCATATGCCAATTGCCCAAAACTCATCTAAAACCATCAATCAGACCAGGGGTGTCCAATCCTGCTCTTAGCCAACGTCCTGCACATTTTACCTCCAACCAGCTACAGCACACCTGCCTGGAAATATTTAGTCGGTCTGAAGACCTTGCTGGTGTTTAATTATGGTTGGAGCTGCAGGACAATGGCTCTTCAGGAACAGGTTTGGACAACCCTAAAGCCCAAAGTATACTTCAGCCATCCGCGTTCCACGACGGTCCGCACACTGACGAGTGACTCAATTTTTGTCATCAGAAGTGTTTGCAGATGTCCGTGCACAGTCAACGTGCAGCCCAACTTTTGTGACCGCGCAGACTGTCCGTGTACAACAGTGCGTGCTCAAGGTGAACGTTGAGAGTCTATTGGGTGGTACTGTGCATGTGTCGAACTCATCCATGCACGCTCATCTGCATTTGAGTATACTTTGAAAGCTGTGTGGACGTGGCTGTGCTCTAGATGGAACGGATCGTGGAAAGTGAAGTATACCTGGGCCTTAAACTAGACCAACCAGACCAGACTAGTTAAGACTTTTTCTCTTGAATAAACAAGTGTGTCTGTCTTATTTGTGACTGGTTAAATTGTTATTTGAAAAAGAATGTCTTGGTCTACTCACTGTTATGTGTGGATAAGTGCATTTCCAAGGCATGTGAGCCTGCAAAGCTCATATTGCATTGGGGGTATGTGCAATTGCGGAGCATTTGATGGCTGATATTGGCATTTTTCTCTGCCACCATCTCAGGGTCCCTTTGTCGCCCACTGCAGTAATACATAAGGTGGGCCTGGAGGTTTCTTTCACTCCGAAACCAGATGCCACATGCCTTGCAGGGGAAGATGTCTTCTACAAAGACAGAAATGGACACAAGCATATCCATACTGAATTATCTAAAGCTTCTGAAAAGCATCTAAAATCGCAAAGTTAAATACAGTGGGGTCAAGAAATCTGAGACCACTAAACTACTTCTGTTTTACATTTTTGTTATTTGATACCAAATTAATTAGTGACCTTGAAATGGTGCAGAATCTTAAATATTTCTTGTTCTTTTCTTCTTTTAATTCCAAAATCCTACATATATGTAGGTTTAAAAGCTTTTCAGCAATTCAAAACAGAAAACATTATTCAAAAAGTAAAGGTAATAATATTTGGCTCAAGAGCAGATCCATGCTAGATGGATGCTGGGATGGAATATAACTGTATTTTGCAGTAATGGGATGCACCACATAACCCAACCCTATAGACCCCATCAAAACAAATGCACTGTTGTTCTTGTTCACATCAAATTCTTGTTAACTATGATTAGAGAACGGAAGAGGGTAAATATATAATTCCTGCGAAACTGAAGGTCAGCCTCGACCCTTGGTAATTCTCTTATCCATGGCAAACATGCACATCAGAGCTGCGATGACTCTTTGACATGGATTTCCATTTTTAACCAAGCACATTAATCAGTCTATCCACTGTGGCAGAGGCCTGATAATGCAGCACTCACTGTTGATGATAGCGCCGGGCAGAATGGACGCCATGGCTTCTTGCTGAGGAAGGAGTTGAATGCCATCCAGATGTCTGGCCGGGTACATCCCTTGACCGTAGGGAGTTTGAAGATGCAAGTGCAGATCCACCAAACAGGCTGCAAGTTCGTCTCCTTCTATGATGTTTTTAGTTGTGGAACACCACACATGTCCTCCTGTGAGAACCATTTAAAGAAAGTTATTTATGCTATCTGAGATCCCCTGGAGATTGAATGAGGTCAACTATATATATGTGTGTGTGTGTGTGTGTGTGTGTGTGTGTGTGTGTGTGTGTGTGTGTGTGT